TTTTTTTTTTTTTTTTTTTTTTGGGAGCTCATGTTTGTCATTCTTTGGAAAAAATGGATTTCTTTTCTTATGTAAAAATGGAAGTGTATATTAATGCTAAAAAAAAATTAAAAAAACAGGATCACTCTGTGACTTGTTCTGGTGGAACTCGAGTAAACTCCTGGCATCTGCAACTGAGCATGTACCAAGAATGAAGTCTGCATTTTTACAGTGGTAGCAAGTCACCATAGGTTGGGACATGCAAAGGAAGAGTTTGGGAACACAATTCCTTGACAGTTGTAATATGGGTATATTCCAATATTGTGGTTTTATTTTTCTGTTATCCTTACCCTCCATCTCACGCAGTTATGTTTTTCTGCTAAGGATGGGGGGTTTGCTGTGTATTGGTTTGGCCTCTTTGAGCTATATTTCCTCAATTACATTTTAGCATGTTTTAATTCTATTTTGTGCCAATATTTATAACTTTTGTTGATTTTGAGAGTGTGTGTTTTTTAATCTATGCATTTGTGGATGCTGAACATGCTTTCCAAAACTATTATTATTTTTTATTTTATTTTTAAAGGGTAATGTGACATGACAGTACAGTTAATATAAATGTCTAACAGAAATGGATTTTAATAAAGGTTAATTTAGGCCCCCTTGTTGTACTGCTATATGTGGGCTGTTTGGAGTGAAGTTACAATTGTTTTCATTGTATGCACTTCAGACACTTATCCTCTGTTTTGGCATGATGTAACAGCTTTCTGACACAAGTGCTATGTATGCTCTGTTCTTTTGTTTTATATGGCCCAGGCCAGAAAGGAGTAATACTGTGGCCCTTATTCTGACCACCCCTGGCCATCTTGATCATTCTCTGAACAAATTAATTTTAGGCTGTTTGTGTTGTTGCCTAATCTGTGTAGCAAAAGTGGAGTCCAGATTAACAAATCTTTCTGCAAAGAAAAAAGTAAATACCTCTCTTGCTGCCCACACTGCCAACCACCACTATGATTTTTTTTTAAAGAAAGTGCCTGCTGACGTTTCTTTACAAACCAATCCTTCTGTGATTGTTAATCTTTGTTTCCACTTTACTCGGGTTCTTCCTACTGACCCCATGTCACTACCGTGTCCTGTATTGATGTAGGGTTTGGTGGGAAGGACCACCAAGTGCAAAAGGGGACATAAGAAATTGTCACTTCCATAAATGTCAGTTTCTGGAGACACTTCAATGGCTGATTTTTTCTTTTCACATGTTCAGCTGGAGCAGCTTCTAATACAGCAGGAGAGCTAAATTACTACTTTATAGGAACATCTGCTACTGTTTTTTTTTTTGTTTTGGATAAGAGTGAAAGAGTTAGAATTTCTATCCGGTATATGTTGCTGTTTTGTATTCCTTTTGGAGAGATTTATGCTCATGGTGTCACAAGGACAGAAAGTAAGGAATTTCCCATTAACGTCTTCCAGGACAGCATCACGAGATGGAATCTCCTCCCCCACACACATCTCGGAGTGAAAATGGTTTTGTTGCTCTTTCTGCCTCTTGCAACAAAAGCATTTTATGCTGCGTGAAATGTCAGCTTTTTTTTCCATTGTGGTCTTGTCCTGGTGTCACGGAGACAGGACTTCAGGGGGACAATCTCCAATAAGGACACAGACAGCAGTAATGAGGCAGAGGGTGGGTTTTAGCTGGCATCAGGCCTTAACCTTCCTGGCGGTAACCCCGAGCCACACTCGGGATTACACTGCCGTCACTTACCTTGTCCCTTCGAGCCCCACTGTGTCCTCCGGTCGATGCCGGCATTCGTCTTCCGGGTTCCTTCCCTTGTGAGCACCCGCGTCGCAGGAGGGTGTAACCGGCGGGAAATTCAAAAGTAAAAAAAAAGAGAAAAATAACTGAGATAATCAGACCTCCAGGGAGGCTAAACCAGGAGAAAGTTTACATCTCTTCTTGTACATAGATTATGCTGTGATTATTATGTGTAATTCTTTTGCTGCAGGCACCAAGACTACCAGTGCATGCTTTGCACCCAAAAACTTGACCTCTTTCAAAAATTCTACTAAGTCCTGGGTGGCATTTTCCGGTGGACAACATCATACTGTGTGCCAAGACTCTGAAGGCAAGTGGGTGGTGTGTGGGGTTTTTTTTTTTTTGTTGTCTTAAACCTTTCTAAAACCTGTAAATATATTGAATACCTTCCATGCTTTAATTTAACACTGCTAGTATAATTTGTAGGACATGCATACAGTTTGGGGCGTGCGGAGTATGGGCGACTGGGCCTTGGAGAAAACTCTGAAGAGATGAGTGAACCTACACTGATACCCGGTCTCCCTAAAATTGCTTCTGTGGCGTGTGGAGCTTCTGTCAGTTATGCAGTATCTCGGGATGGGGAGTACTTTTTTTTTTTTTTTAAATAAATGTATAATATATTCTTTCTTCCAGTTAATTTCCCTTCAGATTGGAAACTGGAGCTGGTGCCCTCTTGTCTGTTTTTGCCTTTTAGCATGTTCAGCCCCTTTTTTAGATGTTATTCCTCAGTATGTAAACTGCATGCCTGTGTAACAGTTCCTATACAATTTTACCCTTTTTTTTTTTTTTTTGAAGGCCATGTCTTCTCCTGGGGTATGGGAACTAACCAGCAGCTTGGTACAGGTGAAGAGGATGATATTTGGAGTCCTTGCAAGATGACGGGAAAGCAGCTTGAGAACAGAGACGTGTTGTCTGTGTCCAGTGGAGGCCAACATACTGTCCTATTGGTGAAGGATCGCAGTTGACTGGCTCAGGATTTGGCAATTGGCTAAATGGGGACCGCTTCTAAGCCTCTTTTTCTCCAACCAGGCCCCCTGTGAACTTTTAATTGACCTCATATTAGCAAAATCCTCTTTGTGGGAGGCTGCCTTACCTGACATCAGCTTCTACTGTGTCTGGGCTTGTCCACATGGGAGTTTTTTTTCCTAGCCTGCATTTTTCACACTTCAGAAACACCAGTTTTCATATCTTCCTCAGACTTTGGAGAGAACGCACCAGAATGTATGCCTGTGTTTTTTTTTATCATTTTTCTTTTTAATTTTTTTGTTTTTTTTAATCCTCTAGCATGAAACATACACACCTGTTTCCATACTTTTACTAACTGTAAAACACTGTAACCACTTGTAGCGTTTTTATGAAAACTGGTAGTGTTCCAAAAAGAAAAAAATTGCTCATGTGGATATAGCTGTATTGGTATAATTTTGTATAGCTTTGCAAAGAGCTGTGATACACAGTGTCCTTCAGTCAACAGCTGCCAATCAGATTGGTTGGGTTACTGCAATTTCCACACAGCTCTTTCTCTTAGCCCATTAAGTGTCTATGTCTGATGTGACCCCAGCATCTATACCATCAATCATCTTTTTGCCCTCTGTCTCCGTTTAGAGTTACTATTTTCCCATGCATTTTTAACACTGTTTCCCCTTTCTGTGACCATGATTCATCTTTGTCATTACTACTCATTAAATCAGGTTGGAGAGCAAAATGTTTGCCCTGCTCCTATGTCTCTGGGTTTTGTTGGACATGCTAAATAGCTTTATTTTTTTAATACTCGGTGATTGTCAAAGGCATGGGTGTGTTTGACTCTAGGTTGTTTTCCTTTGCTGTTTAAAAGTATGATTCATTTGCTTGACAGAGATGCAAAACCTCTTTTTAAAAAAAACTTTGGAATAAATCTTTTTCATAAAGTGTACTGGCCTCTTCTGTTCTGTGCACAGTTGTTACTGAAAAACCTAAGGGGTAATGCTGAATACATAGATGAGCAATGACATTGGATTAAAAACCCCTAAACCCTCTGGTTATGGCTGAATGCTGGGCCATTCTGACAGGCAAAGGTTTGATGATCAGGGTAGTGTCAAAGCGTGCTGCTAAGCCCTGGTCTCACGCATTCCTACCAGGGCCAGTCTCACTAACTACCTTTTTTACCTGCAGCAGTTTGAGACTTCCTGTGTCTCTCAATGGACTATATAAGAAAAACGCATACAGTTGGGGTATCCTACAGGGGAATTTGACACTGTCAAACTGTTGGCCAGTCCAGCATAACTGCTACTCCCAGCACGCCTCCAGTTATTTGCTATTCTCGGAGTTATGGTGGCTTTTCTTCAGGTCTGATGGGGCAAAGTCGAACCATGTTTGTATTAACTTTTTATTTTTCCAATTCCCTTTCAAATTACTGACTTCATTGCTGCTTAAGCTGGTCTCTACATAACAGCTATCTGGATTTTGCCTCTCCTCAGCCTAACTTTAGAGTACCATACCTGTACTGGATGGGTAGGGCTATCCAGGAATGTGACCTTCAGGCTTGTGGCGCTTTCCTGATTTTTGTGTACTCGTTAAATGTTAGCCGTAAAAAGTGCTTTCCAGGCAAGAGCCATGGCATCGCCTCAGTGCTTGCTCTGTCTCTAAAAACACAGCGAGTAGGCCATTTGGGTTGAGCACTGGGAACTTCCTCTTTTTTGGCACTACTGAGTGCCTTAAATGTTTCTGCTTTCCATCTGTTTCAACACAGTAGGAATTAATGCTGAGGGACTGAATGCTGATGTCACCTTCATGGTCGAGTGTCTCATGCACGTAATCTTTCCTGCCAATCAGCCTTGAGGACACGCCTTCCCACTGTTTCTGCTTGGAAGAGCCACATGGAACCCTAATCCTCGATCTCTTCTTCTTCCGAGAGCAACTTTTGGCTTTCTGACCCTACACCTTCCATGCAACTGGATTCAGAAGTGCCTGAGGCCTTGGGGGTGATTTACTAACCTAAACACACACACACACACCAGGTGTGTGTGATTTTCACACAGCAAAATGTATTTATCAACCGAAAAGTCTCTAAAAGCATATTTCCACTAATGCAATATATGGAAAAATCATGCACATGATGCATATATAATGCTGCTTCACAGTTTAGACAAAAATGGTTAGCTCATGCATTTACATTCCTTGCATTCATCAACGCAAGCAACACAACATAGAGCTAATTTACCCAACATCACCTTGGAATTCATTCAGGGCTTTGCACAACACACCTGCTGGGTGTGTACACATTACAAAGGTGTTTAAATTCCACCCATAGATCATGCTGGGAGGGAACACAATGCAGAGGAGTATACACATTCGTGGTGTGTTTATAAGGTTAGTAAATCAACCCCCTTGTCTCACACCCTGAACTCTATTACGGTCTGTCTTGTCATACAACATACCTGATTCTAGACAAGGGGGGCCAGTTCCACTGTACCAGGTGCCTGGAATTTAGTCCTCTGCTAGAGTCTGCCATCTTCGGAATGTTCCCCAGCTCCGTTGAATGTGGCTGCCTCTTACTTTTATACAGGGAGGATTTCACTGCAGTCATGCAGGATTTTATGGGCCAAATAGCACTGGTGCTTATTCTAACTGCATAGGCCTCAAGTGTGCACCCACATCTTCCCCTGTAGAATCTCTATCGGTTCTTAGGGGCATCAGTTCCAGGACTCATGTGGCACAGAGTCGGATCCCGCTGGGCACTTCCTCGGATGGTGATAAGGTACAGGCAGAAAACTTGCTGAAGTCCTCTTCTGGTAATAGACATTCCTCTGTTACCGACTCACCTGCTTTGCGACCACTCGCACTTACGACGGACCGCCAATTGACCTCCGACCTTGTGCGTCAGTGCGACGTGTCGCCGGCGGAAGTGATGTCCTCCGATCTTCACCGGGTGTCCCGGTAAGTATTTTAATTGCCTGATGTACAGTACACTGTTCGGTACTGTACATCTGCAACGCTATACAGTACTGTATAGAGTTCCTCACTTAATGACAATTCGTAGAAATGGAACTCGATCGTTAAGTGAGGAATACCTGTACTGGGGGAGTAAACCGTAGCCAGCTACAGTGTTAGTACGGTTTCTTGTCAGTGAAGAGAACCGGTGTGGTGTCAGCGTGGATCCGATCCTGTCAGTTGTGCTCTGTGTAATACGGAGAGAGCAGGCTTCCCTCGGTGCGGCGGCGATTCAGAGGCTGAAAATGTGAACTCCAGTGCCTCTGTGGCATGGAGATGTGTGGTAGAGATGGGGGATACGATCGGGCAGGCAGCCTAGATGGGTGTGTAGAGACAGCGAGCAGGGGGTGTCCCCGGTTGAGAACATTTTCAGAAAACAATTATTGCAACATGGACATTTTCAAAGGCATGAACAGGAGTATGAAACCTGCAAAATAGGCATCCAAACCTGTTCAAAGTTCTGAAACATAAAGGTGACAGCTGCCTGCCCCAAATTATGTATTTCAAGGCCCTAAATGTCTTCATTCAGGCCCAGAAATTCTACAAGGAATCCACCAGGTCTGTCATAGACTCCCTCTGTCATGGAGACTTTCTGACCTCTATGGACAGGTCCAGGAAAACATCTAGATGCAGGGACCATTCCCCTGGGTACAAACACATCAAGGACATGTACCATTCTTACCAGCAATTTCTGTTTTGTTGTGGGTCCTCTGCAGTTTGTTTTTAACTGTGCCTATATTCTTCACTTCAAATATTCACCAAGGTGCTGCCCTCAGTACTAGCCTTGCTGGGTTCTCGGGGCTTTCCCATTGTGGTAAATCTAGACAACGTCCTGCTGAGGGAAGAGTTGGCACAGGTTCTGGCTCACTATGTAAGCCTTTCTAGACTTTGCAGAGATTCAGATACATCCTAAACCTTCAGGAATCGGTGTTCGTACAAGCAATGAGTTGGTTCCATTTGGGGCTAGTCCTAGACACTGCTCAAGCCAGAGTGTCTCCTCCCCAGGAGAAACCTTAAAGCCCATTTCCTCCGTTTGTAAGTGAATAGCATTTATTGTGATAATGTAGAGGCAGTAATGTATATGTGTGTACATTTTCATCACTCAAATTGCTAGCTTTCTTAATTTTTTCTATGGATTTTTTTTTAGTAGTCCTGAGTCTAAATTTTCTCCACCGGAAACTCAGCCTGACACTGGGGTCGGATTGTAGGTTTTTTTTTTTCTGATCTTAACCACTTCCACGCCGTAATACGTCTATGGATGCCGGCCCGCCCGTTTAAAATGGGCTTTCAGTGTGTTCCAGGGTGTTTGCATGTGTTTTAGATGCGTTCCAGAGCAAGTAAAATAGGGCTTGCTGCTTAGTTGTGGCTTTAGGGGACAGTGGTAAAAAAAAGAAAACTCAGAAGGTAGCTGAAAAGGTTGTATAGTATGAAGAGAGTCTGAAGTCAGCTGGAGGAAAGAGCTATGGTCTGGTGAGACCAAAACTGGTCCCTCAAACCAAACAGCTTGTTTTACAAATGCCTGACACTGCACATCATCATAAATGCACCATCCCCACCCTGATGCATGGTGGTGGCAGCATCATGGTGTGGGGATGTTTCTCTGCAGCAGGCCCTGAAAGGCTTATCATGGTAGAGGGTAAGATGATTTCAGCAAAATACAGTAAAACAATAACTCCAAACATAAAGCCAAAACTACGCAAAAACAGCTTTGAAAGTTCTGGAATAGCCAATTCAGTCCAGATGTAAATCCAATCACGAATTCGTGTCTGGAATTAAAAATGGTTGTTTGCTCACTATCCTCATGGAACCTGACAGAGCTGGAGAAGTTTTGCAATGAGGGATAAGGAAATATTGCCGTGTCCAGATGTGCAAAGTTGATTGAGACCTATCCTCAGACTCAGAGCTGTAATTGTTGCTAAAAGTGCAGTGTATGGAAATGGAACACCAGATAGTAAATAGTGGTATACACCCCTTTCCCGTGGGCACCGTGCCGGATCAAGACGCCCCTGACGACGCATTTGTGCGCCACCCAAACCACTGAAGTTTCCATAGATGCCGAGGAGTTCTCGGAGAAGTAAGAGCGGATTGTATTCTCTATCTCTGAGCGTATCCCCGGGTCCTGCAATGACTCATTTAGGCGCCACGAGGGTATACACCCCTTTCAATCGGTTTGTGTTTATTTTTTCATTGTAATTCAAATCACTTTACTTCTGCAAAGTGATTTGAATTACAATGGAAAAAAAGCATTTTAAAACAGTCTTTCTGTTGATCAGTGTAAATCCTCTGCAACTTAATGATCTATTAATAAAAGATGAACATTTCCAAGGGGATAGATATTTTTTTTTTATAGGTACTGTATCTGGTCTATTTATGTATGAAGCGATCCTGTATGAACATTGAGTTTAGCTGGGGT